TTAAATACACAGCCGCCCATCCCCCACTGCCAAGGTTACAGGTTTGAAACAATGTCATAGATTGTGTGGGAACACTAAACCGGTCAAACTGTTCGTTGTCTATGAATTATTTAAACCAAAACGCCTAATTTGAATTATTAACATGCAGTTGTTTTACAAAAACCGAATTTTGTTTTCTAAAAAATAACTCTAAGACACCTAACATATACCTCTGTCCAGATTAAGTGAACTGAATATAAAAAGGAAGAGCAAAACATGTCGAATTCCTCATTGTTGGATAAAATCCTGATTTTCTTCTCGTCTTCAGCCACGTTTCTTTATTCAACACATTTCGCTCAAACATGTCCGACTTCTTCTTCTTCTTCTTCTCCGTCATTGGGTCGAAGTGGGGGCAGGGAGAGTCACGTGACAGCCCACACAACTACTCGCGCGACTTAAACTGGTTTTAAGCGGGAAATCCTGAAAACAAATATTCTTTTTAAGATACACTGCATACGAAGGCATTTCCTTAGCGATTAAAGACGCGATCTTTAAAAAAAATCCATAAACTGTAAACTTGTAATTAGTCAGCAATGTTGATAAATCCAGAACAAAGAAGACATGGCTGTCGTTGCCGCGCCGTGATTGGACGGAGCCGGTCACGTGCCTCGCAAACCATCGCGCCATGGCTAAACATTAAACCTGGTTATTTTTGCACCGAGATTATCTTCTTGGATAATATAATCCGATTCCATTCGATTCCTTTCCAAATGCTCTGAATATCAGAATTCAGTTTAGAAAAAACCCTGGCGAAAAAGTTTATTAGAAGCACGAGAAATCCGTGTAATCAATAGCTTTCATCTCCTCTGAATGTAATCCTCTCTGCGCATGTGCAGATCGACTCCCTTCCACCCGAAAACCCCCAAAGCTGGCGTTTTGAGCTAAAATTGGAAACTTGTTCTGTGACTTATTTATTTTGACTCATTATAGCTGCATTGAAACTGGAAATAAGTTTTAGTAATAAGTAAGGCAAGCAAGTACTTATAATAAGCAAGATATCCGCTGGGTACATTATCCAAGTTAAAGAAACATCACTTTTTTACACCAGGAAATATTTTTGGAAAGACATTTTTGTTACCCTTTTAAAAACTATTTTTAAACCTGTA